GGGGGGGGGGGGGGGGGGGGGGGGGGGGGGGGGGGGGGGGGGGGGGCTGCTCCCCCGGGGAACGGCCGACAGGAACAACAACATGCTGTGAAACCTCCTCAGACTAGTCGTGCTTTTCTTTTGTTGGCCTAAGCTGGCCGCGGAGCGGGAGGAGTCCGAGCTCCGGCCATTTGCTGTGGAGAGCCACTACAGATTTGTTCAGGAGCCTTTTTATTTTTCGGCTTTTCGGCTTTTACACTCTGAACCTCACAGGACCGAGTCCTCCAGAATGTTCCGGCCGTCGTCACCAACCAGCTGCTTTTAAGAAGGCTCCGGCACCAGGCTGTTTAAACCCCAAAACCTGCCGGCTTTTCACCGGAGGAGAAGGAATGGACCGATTTTTTTGCTCATGAACCAAAGCGAAAGGGTGTAGCTGGGCCTGTTGGGAAGGAGAAAGCCGAGAGGATGTACGGTTCGGTTCCTGATGGGCCCGGGACGGCGTTTTTACGGAGCCAGACAGCTGGACTGTTGGCTGGGAGAGAAGCCTGGGGAGACTTGGTTTTTGTGCAACGGCTACTTTTTCGGAACGCTCCCCACCGGCCTGTTAGCTTTCGACTCCGAAAGGCATCCAGATCACGTAGCTCTCTGGAGGTGGCTTCCAATTTTTCCAAACAGACTTTTGTGAACAGAGATATTATCCAGTGCCTCGAATCCCAGTTTACTGTGGGGATATTTTTCAAAAATGAGAAAAATCTATTTTGTTGAAGGCAGAGAGAGAGAGATAGTTTTGCATACAGAACAGAACACATGAGGAATGGACTCTGACACAAGTGGTATTATACGACACTGAGGCCGTTGTACTGTTTTGTAATGCAAATGGTAATATATTTTTCTCCATATATAATGTGTTTGAGTGGATGTGTGTGTGTTGGGAACGGGCTATTTGCTTCCCTTCTGACCGTCTGAATTGCCCTGCGTCATTTGGCTCCGGTCCCCCTTTCAATGACCCCGCCCACCACTCATAACGCTATGGGGGGGGGGGCTCTGCGGCCGTGTGCGCTAGCAGCACTGGCCGTGTGTGAGTGTGTGTGTGTGTGTGTGAGTGTGTGTGTGTGCGCTGCGCTGCGCTCGTCCTGCTCTGTCGATAGCTTTATCCGCGCCGGGTCCCATCCAACGATCTGCTCGCCGTCAAACCCCCGGGCGCACGCTCTCAGCAGAATCCAGAGATTATACCAAATACCAGGAGGCGCCGTCTCCCCTCCGCGCGCGCCACGCCACGGCCGCCGCCTCTCCAAAGCGTTTCTGGAAACGAGCCTAAAACCCGAACCGCCACTGTGACGGAGGGCTGACAGCTCTGGATTACAGCACCGCCTCTCCGCAGCTCAGCGGGGAACAATGATACTCTCTCGCTCCATGCCAAATTTAGTACGTCTCTATTGTGCGCGGATGAGTCGAGCTGTCCACAATCTGGGACAGATGTGCGCCTTTGGTCTGTGAGGACGGCTTACCAGACGGTGTCCCCTCAGAGTTTTAATCAGAAACAATAGAGCGTTGAAATTGGGAGATTCTGAGGGTGATGTTCCTATCGCAGCATTCAAATTAGCTTCTGGGCTGCTTTATGATGAATCATTTCCATCCAGGTGTGGCCGAGGGGCTCCTAGACGCCACCAGAAAAACGGAGGTGGTGGCCTACCATAAACATTCTTAGCATTTTTTTTTCTCACCACGTCGACAGCATCAGCCACTCAGCGCCCGCTTGATTTCCGCTTCTCTTCCCGGGGACTGCCGGGCGGGGCCGTGCACTAGGCCTCACGCTGTACAGTAGCATTCCCTTCTAACACTTTTGCGCTCACACACTGTGCCCTCCGCTTCAGGCCGTGTTCTGGAACAGCTGCAGAGTCGCCGCCTCAAACATTCCTCCTCGGTAAACATGGGTGGGGCTCCCGGGCCACCCCAGGGCTCAGTTCTATGGAATTGTCTTCTGCAGAAACTCTGTACACAGGGCACAGAACACTCTGATGCTCCGATGCCTTTGCAGAGAATAAAATATTTTTTTTGAAAGCACCCCCCCCGAGTTTGAATTTGTGTTTTTATGCTTGTGTGTAGAGCTTCGGGACTCCGGGGCATTCCATCCACCGATTTTAAAGGCCTGTCTGCGGAGGATTTTCTTATTTTCTGTCCTTTTTTTCTACTTCCTTTCACATTGGAACTCCGGGTGCCAGCTCTGTGTTCACGCAGCCAACGCAGCAGTGATGTTTAATCACAGTTACACGCGGGTTTCATCACTCCTGTGTGCGAGCACGCCCCCGCTATCTTTGTTAGTGAAGTGACTGAGTTCTGATAGCTCCATGAGAGGCCCCAGATAAGAGCCCGCTTTCTTGAAGTTTGCGTCGTTCGCGTCTCGTCTTTTCCAGGCTATCGCTCACCATCTCCATCTTGGAGTAGGTCTGCGGCCGGCCGGCCCCGGCTCTGGGAAAAGCCACAGGAGGGCAGTGTTTCCTCAGCTATGGAGGAGCTGGCGCCGGGCCCTGCCCATCACACCAGCGGGCCCCCAGGCTTCCTGCAGCTACCCAGCAGTGGAGGGAAAGTTTGAAGTGTACATAAATTCATTCCACAAAACACAACAAACAGAATAATCTAAAATTGGCACGCCCGTAGATGAATGGAGATCCCATATTTGTGCAATTAGGCAAACAGAGGAGATGCATGTCCGCTGTAAATTTAAAGTTCTTACTTGATTAATCTCACAGCCTGCTCGTCTTTCCTGTCGCAGGCTAATTAATTATAATGTCCTTTTATTTCCCATCTGAGTCCTGGCATGATTCACAGGAAATGCCTGGAAATATATGTACAGTGTGCAGTGTTTTTATTTTTTACTCAAAGCAGGATGATGATGACAGTTTCCATCATCACATGTGACTCCGTCTCCTCTATAATAAGGGGGACATGAAAGGGATTTAGACACGTAACACGTCAGTCAGGCACAGGGAAAGGACTGAAGCTGTGGGATGCCGTGCTCCCTAATTAACATTTCCGCGGCGGATGTGGAAAAAGGTTCATGTGTCTGCACACTCGCCCGCTTTCCCGGATGACAGAAGAGACAGCGAAGGTGACAGCATGCTAATTTTGGGATCACTCGGTGGCTCCCCTGCTTTAAGCGGGGTAGGGTTATGCAAATAGAGTGTTTTTTTTTCTCAATTTTTCCTCCAAAGTGAACCATTTTGTAGGAGAAGAGAGTGAGATCCATGTGTAGCTCGGATGCAGCTAATTTGCAGACCATCACAGGATTGCAACTCTCTTTTTTTTAAAAATGTATAGCAGGACAATCAAAAAGTTTGTTTGCTTTCACAGAGGTCACGATGGCTGACCGGCGACCGGCCCCTCCTGCCGGATCAAACTCCGCTTTTATGGGAAGACAGTAGTGAAATCAGCCTTGAATATTTGCATCCAGATAAAGGGGATGAGTTTCAAAAGCCGAAGGGGGTTTAAGACACTGGGCAAACAATTTGTTAACAGGGTGCAAGAGGCATTCAGAGATGTGTTTGCTGTGAGACGGAAGACAAACGCTGCCTAACTTCCAGCTCCACCGGCATTATTATTAAACTCCCTCAGAACGTTAGTCCCGCAGCATTCGCTTTAACTTGTATGGTTTTTCCCCCGCGGCCTGCTCGCCCTGAGACCCAGTCCCAGAAATGCCACAGGTGGCTGCAGGCCGCGTGCCAAGCTACCAGCGGGACACCTTAGCTGGCAAGTTGAAGGCTGTGATATTTACCTCAATTACCCAGCGTGCAGCTGAGCTAAATGATATGCAGATCGTCATCTGTAAATAAGAGATAGTGCTGTTCCCCCTCCTGTAAGAGCAACTAACGGAGCAGGCAGCCCGCAGCCACGTGCACACAACGCGTTTGTCTGCCTAGTTTGGTAATAATAAGACTAATAATCTTGGCAGTTGAGTGTTTTTTTTCTTTCCGTTTTTTTATCTTCAGGCGAATTGGACCGCCGCAGCACTCCGGTGAATCCTGGACGGTGGTTTTAATTCCTCCCTTTTCCTCTGTTGCCTGTTAAGTCACTGTGTTTAGCGGCCCGCTTTCATCCCACTGCACTTCCGCTTCACTTGCACTTGGGGCCCATTGTTCTTTATCTCATCTAATTGTGAAACATCCCACACACAACTCCCAACTTTTTCTCGAAAATCACTCTTTTTCGGCTTTCCTCCTGCAGTCGGCTCTGTGACGCCACAATTCAAAGCCGTACGCGGTGCAGTTGGAAGAGGATTATGATTATATCAGGCCTATTTACTATTTCATGTGGCTCTTGATGATACTTTGTTCTCAGCCTACTCAGCTTATTACTTTCTCAATGAATAACAAATGAGTTGTCGAATAAAAGGCAAATAAACACGGGCTAAAGAGCGGCTCATTCATTAGAACACATTCCTGGGAACGAGGTTTGGAAAATCAAGCATTAAATTCAAACATTAAAGTGGGGCAGAGTTTGCCTCTTTGAGCACCTCGTGTCCTTTTTTTTTTTTCTCCCTCTCCTGTCACATGTGGCGTCTTGCCAGCCCATCCAAACAAGAGCACAAATGACTTTAATTATGGAGTAATTGCAGAGCATTGTGTTAATTAAATCTTTATCAGTTCAAGTAAGTGGATTGCTCCCACAAGGAAACCATGCGGCGTCGGGCTGTCTTGCTCTACCCCCTTCTGCTCTGGCTAAATTTCCAGTCTGAGACTGTCTTTTATTCCGTCTCACCCGACTCTCCCACCCCTGGCTCTCACACTGAAACGATTGGGATTAGCCTGATTTGGGGAATGGGGGGGGGGGGGTTGTTTTGCCAACGCCGTCAGTAGCCAGCTGTGCCTTAAAAACACCATAACAAACATGATAGCGCCGGCGTGAGGGAGTGTCCTCCGCTGGAAAATGAGATACAAGATTTATCTTAGGTTCCTGGTGTTTGACAAAATTGAATCCTCTCATTTTAATTGCTCTCGACTAGGTGCGCTGCCCCGGGCCGTGGAAACGTGAGCTCTGCGTGGCGTCCCTTGTTCTCTCCAGACCATTATGTTCCATTGTGCAAAATACAGATTATGATTTGCCGTGTCCTTGTCATCTATCTTATTTAGGATCATTTAGGTAGCCACATGTTACAAAGGAACAGCAGTCAGCCCTGTTATTATGTGTGTTTGAGTCCCCCGCTTCTAGTAATGAGAACAGGATCACAGAGGAGAATTAATCTGTCTGAAGACTTATTCACTTGTTCACGGCCTCACTACTCGTCCAGTTTACAGGATTTGAACAAAACGATCATTTACAAAGCACTTGCAAAAAGCCATTTGGGGCACTTCACTGATGATTTAATGTTCACATTTATTCATTGAGTAGATCTGTCAAACCAAAGGGACTCGGAAATAATGAAACAACATTCAGGCTTCAAGTGTTAGAAGAAACCCAGTCTTTCGCATTTTTTAATCGACTTAAATCTGAGAGTACAAGTGGAAGTAAGTAAGAGAAAGGATGCGTTAGGGTGTTGGAAGGTCGTTCCAACATCATGGAGCCCTGAATGAGAACATTCTGGACCCGTGATGCCTTTTGTGTCTGTTTGCAATTCTGTTTCTTGACGGTGTTCATATTGTTCACCAGAGAATGTTTATGGAGTGATGGATGCAACATGGTTGTGAAGCACACTCAAATGGGTTTTAACTGGATTACGCCTCATTTCGAGGATGCTTAAAGTGAGATTAAAACAGATATGTGGTTAAAGTGAGGAAAATACAAAACCAAATTGATGCTATTTCACTCAGGTCTCATAAGCCCTTCGCTCATGCGTGGCTCTTCTGTTTCCGAAAAACATCGGCAAAAAAAAAGAAAGAAAGAAAGAGAGACAACGCGTTGAATGATGCCATAAAACTCAACAAAGGAGACATGTGCACCTTTCAAATAACAGTTTTGCTCCATTGGACCGTCACAATTCACCATTAATGCCCTTTCTTATCTTATGCTACAAATCCCCAGAGCGGGAACATTAGAACGCTCTAATCACCAAACGGCACGCAGACACACACACACACACACACACACACTTACACGGTCACACGCCACACATACGATCTGAAAAAGATAATGAATTTATTGCTTCTGCTTTTACAGTTGTCTTAGGTTTTGTTAATGGTGGTGCCATATGGAATGGAGGGGCCTCAGTCATGAGGGTAATTCAGCTCTCTGGACAAGCTGTCAGTAAAAAGGCCGGGCATTCTGCGGATGCGCGAGGGTAGATGGGGCCGGGTGGGAGGGTGTGCTTAATCCAGCGGGCTCTCTAATGATTCCTCTTTGCCTCGACCTGCAGGCCTGTGTGAATGGGCTCCGAGCTGTGCGTTATCTCTCCCATCGGAGCTCCAATATGCGTACACATTAACCCTCTATTGAGCATTTATGCATATGCAATGCAGTTTTGAATGTGGGGGATTGAGGGGTGGGGAGGGGGTGAAAATGGTGGTTTGAGAGAGACGGTAGGATGTGCCTGATTGCCCCCCCTCCCTCTCCGGCACGCACCTCCTCAAACCCACTCCCATCTCCTCCCCGTATCCCTCTGCCAGCGCGGCAGCCCGGCGGATAACCGGGCTCGGATTAGCAGTGACATCACACCCAAGAGATGGCTGAGCCCCACTGCGAGGTAGGGTGAGTTCTTTGGTTTGTGTGTGTCAGACGGGTGTAAGTGTTATGTGTGTGTTCAGGGCTGATTAGACGGGGAGGGGGGCGGGGGGGTGGGTGTTGAGAGGGAGGGGAGGATTAGAGAGTTGGTTAGGTGCTGACACCACTCCACCTCACCAAGGGCTCAATTTACTGAGGGATCAGACTCATTTATGGTGGGCTGGGATTATTACCAGTTCAATAGGGCTACTTCTTTATTAAAGTCACCCCTTGACCTGGGAAATGTGGACACTTGCGAAAGACCTTTATGAGGTCGTGTATCTTGTTCAGATGTAATCTGCTCCCTTTATGTACAATTAGACGTGCAGCAGTCTCTGTGGAAACGGTCTACAGACTGTTTTTAAATGAAGGAAAGACTTTCAGAGAGCAGATTGAAAGGGTCTGCACAGAAGACAACAGGAGCTTTTTATGGCTCTGAACCACCAGCACTTGAGTTTGGATTCATCTGTATTCACATGCATGATTCACTGGACTAAAAAAACAACGGCATGGACAAAGAATGAAAAGACAGAAGTACGTTTGGATGGTCTGCCACCAACAAATACTTCCTGTAAGGTTCAGTCTGTGGATGGCACATAAACAAAAGCTGTAAGAGTTCACTCAGTGAAAGGTCCATAGTAAAGCTTTAGAGGCAGCTCTCATCACCTGAGGATTTTTCCACAATCAAGCTTCACCTTTCATGTATAACAGTGGGCAGATCGGCTGTAAAAGATTTCAGAGGACTTGTCTTTGGTTAAGCTGTTGTGATGATTGTGTTTGGTAAATTTCATGCCCTCAGCTCAGTTGCACACACATTCCTTTTCCTCTCTACAAGGATGTTCAGGAGAGCTTAAATGTGGGTTGTGTTCTGGACTCATACCTGAATCTTAACATCCAGTTGATATGTTATGTCCATTCTCTCTCTCTTGAAAATATATAAAATAGTTGGATAATTTCTTGTGATGAACAAAACTGACGGTCTATAGTCTAATAAATATTTTCTTAAATTTGAACAGGAATGGCTGTGGTCTCCGCTTTGGAAGCCTTCCCCCTGGGCTGAGTGAAAAAAAATCCTGCGAATAGATCATTTTTAAAGTGGGTGGGATGCCTGCCTGCTTTGAGAAGGACAACCCCCCCCTCCATTTAATTCTCAAATCACAGAGAGGGGACCATTAACCTGGTAACTTGGTTTTCCCCTCTGACACACAAGCCCTTTGATATAGAATGTAATCTTACTGTTGCATTTATCAAATACTACATACACTTCCAATCGACTTAACTAGCTGACTAAGATGACGCAGAGGCACATATTTTCGGTAATATCGCGAGGATAGCTCGTCGTTGACGTGAACTCCCACTGCCACTATCGGAAACAAAAACACCGGTCACGTCGCAATCTTATGTGCGCAAATATAGAGCTTAAACCTTTCCATTTGACGACATGTTAACTTAACTTCAACTCAGTGTAATACGAATTTAGATATTTATCTGTAGCTTTACAGAGCAATTTCTAGTTTAGCGTTGCACATGTGTGCATGCTAACGTTAGCTCGCTAGTATAGCAACTTATCGGTGTAAATTCTCAGTATTTTTCTGGGAGGTAAAATGTTTGCCGAGCACAGGACAAGTTGGATACTGACTGGGACTGTGGTAGCCTCCGTGGTTGGTCTGTATGTTCCCTGTGTGCAGAGGACTGTCCCCGGCGGAGACTCAGGTTGGTGCTAGCAGAGGAGCTAATGCTCATGTAGTCACGTGACTTTGTTGTGCTGTCAGGCAGCGAATCGGGTGGCACCTTGGTGTTGTGAGAGTGCTGTCCATGGTTCTGGAGGAGCAGATACATCCCATCAGTCCAAGTCAAAACTTGGCTCAAAAGTATTAACCTAAATCATCAATCATTTATGATCAGAATCAATCATTCTTGGAATGAATAATAATTTATATATGATATACCTTTTGATACATTTCAAATTCAAACATTTTATATTAAGTGCCTTAAACATGCATTCATGTAGAGTACTTTATTTTTTGCTTACGATAATGAAGTAAAGACAAAGAGAAGGGAAAGAAAAAGGCCTTGTAATGTATGGAATAAATCTGTTCAGACATTCCAACTTAATTTGATTTAATTGACATTTATATTGTACATTTTTCCCAATCTCTCTCCATACTATAATTGTGATGTTTTCATGTTTTTGTTATTATTTTTTATTTTGCTTGTCTTTATTGAATTTGCTAAATTAGTTCAATTCTCTCAAATTAGTCTAAATAGTTATGATTTGTCACTTTCAACACCAGAAAGTCATTTTCAAAGTTTTATTGATTTTCAGGCACTTGGATATTTTGAACAGTTTCTTGAAGTGAATTTTTTGTGTTTTTATTTTATTTTAAAATAGTTTTGTATTTGAGCTGCAACTCACCACAAATCTGAGATTTGTAGTTTGGTTCTTTTATTCTTTTTTCCCCTGTATGCTTATATTGATTTTAGTCATCTATAATGAGAATATACAGTTGGCTACAATGTGTGGGAATTATTTTTTTAAAAACTAATAATGCAGCTTATGAACGAACGCCTTGCACATGTTTAGAGGTGATAGCAAGGTTAAAAACTTGTAAATATGGACTTGAAGGCATGGAGGCTCTGCTTGTTAGGTTTGCACTTCCAGGCGTACAAGCAGCAGAAGGAAATTCATTTTGCAGAATGAAAGAAGAAGAAAAGCTCGGACAGATAGAAATGAGCTGAGGGGAGAGCAGGCAATTGGAACGCTGAGTAGCCCTGTCAGTTGTGTTGCCGTCTAGCAGGGCCTTTGAAAAATGGTCAGCCCCTTCTCCACAGTGTTTAGGGACGGTGCAGGATGCCCGCTCTGATAGTGCCAGCTGAACACCCTTCCGAATTCTCCAGGTCTCCGTCTCTGTGTCCTAATCTCTTTAGGTGTGATGTGCCCTGGAGAGGCTTGAGCGCAGCCCCGTGGGTACGCTGTTGTCTAGGAATGTGAAGTGTGGAAATGATGGGGATTATGGGAAGGCTGATGTGGGTGCCCATGCTCCACAATCACAAAGACTCTTGGCACCCATGCTGCTACCCCGTTGAGTCAATATTTTCCCTTTTTAGTAGTGGGTCTGCAGAACTGCGTCTCTGTGGCACCGAGATGAATGTTTTGGCTTAGCACTAGTTTCTGCGTTGAATGGGGTAAAAGTGTGCCACTACTGAGTGAAAATGAGTGAAATTGAGAAACCGATGAAGGATGAGAAAGTGTGATGTAAAAATGATGGCAGGTAGCTGGCGGCTCATGCCAGGTGAAATGGAGCTGTGAAAACATTAAAGCAGTGCAGGTGGAGGAGTTCTGACTTCATGGTCCATTAGCCTGATAAGACTTTGGGCTCTTCATGTGGCAGAATTTTAGGCATCATAATTCACTGTGGGCATGGTTGTAAAATATGGGAAGCATCCCGTGCCATCTGAAATATAGCCATTCTGTTCTATAATGGTTGGTAGCACTGGCCCACATTCTGGCTCCTCAAATGTTTATTTTTGATGTGTAACCCAAAACTGCTCGACCTAACAAACATCATATGCATGTCCTGCTTCTGTTTCAATGTTTGATTTAGTTTAGAATCAGTTTGGTTAAGAATCTATTCTAAAAGAAAAAAAAAGATTTCCATTTTCATCACACTTTTACATATATAGTCATCATTAACAGTGTCCTGCTATTTCTCTGGATTTATTTGCCACGGGAAGGACTACCCGTCTGTCACCAGTAGAGGGAGCTGTCCTGATCCCCACCGGTTTATCAATGTCATTTAATCTGAACCAAATTTCAATTTTCATGAGTGGGAGATGCAAACATTGGGTGAGAAATCAGTGTAATTTGAAACGCTCTGGGTGTATTCTGGCACAAATGGGTTTGTGCCCAAATGCATTGAAGCTCCCTCAAATAGCTTTTAGGGGCTTTCTTTTCACTTTGTGCCGTGCCTCACACAGAGCTTGTCAAAAAATTGTGCAGCCGGCTCTTATTTTTACAGCTTACCTCATTCTGTTCCTGTCACAAACGCAGCCTTTCTGTTTGTGCCCAACGGACTAAAGGAGACACTGAGACACTGGGAGTGTGGGAGCATCAGAGAGGCACGTAGAGCAGCTGAAGAAAGAGCCAGGGAAGGGACCCTGCTGCATGGGGAGGATGGAACTGGAAGTATTATTCTCAGATCAGCATATGTGTGCCTTTGTGTGACAGATCATTGGAGAGGGAGTGTAATGATTTGTGTGTGTGCGTGTATGCGTGCACGTGTTCACGTGTGTGTGTGTGTGTGTGCACACGCAAGAGTTGGGAGGGAGGCATCGGGGAAGAAGCAAAAGATGAAGAGAATGAGCGTGCCGCTTAGGAAATGTCACACTGGGAAGATTTGCAGGTTTTGATCCTGGCAAATTAATGCAAAACCCCAGTGCAAGTATTTGATTTGGGAAAACTTTGGGAGCAGACTTGTCTCTTAATAATAATTATTGGGTTTACATTAATTTCCTCCCCTATTCTCTTCCACAGGAGAGCTGATCACCACTGCATGTGAGCTGGGGGTAAGTATTAGCTGTATTGTTTAATCAATTCACTCATTAACTCTTATAAGCATTAAGGAAGTTTAATTAAGCATGGGCAGAAAGCAGATTAATTTACTTTCAGTCCACAGGTTTTTCCCCTCTTTTCTATACACTTATTTTACTAAGTTGCAAGTAGAGAATGCTATAATTTGCAACCCGTTTTTCAAATCCAATTAAAGTCAATGGTAAGGCGATGGCTTTTGTAGGCTTTGCCTTATGTACGGTATAAGGCTTATTATATCCACCCCTCTTTTTTGTGTGTGTGTGTGTAAGCCGCGAAGAATGAACTAAATCGGGTTAACAGTTATAATAAGTTTTATTATTTAATAAAGTTTATTACGCCGCTGTGATCCTTTTAGGGAGGCTGTGTCGGTGTCACTATGCCAGTAATCCCGCCGTTAGTGCTGCAGTCCGTGTGGCCTGCCTGTCTGCTTTTCAGGCCTCCCCAGGGCCTTGCAGGCCATCCCCGGGCCCCAGGCTACAGGCCCCCCCTTCAGATCCCCAGAGCTCCAGAGTTCTGCTTTCCTTTGCACCCTGTGGCCTTTATCCCTCTGCTGTCCTCCTGCTGCATGTCTGTCTGCATGTCTCAGTTGTATCATTCCCACCTGCATCCTCAGTCCAGGCCCCCCCCCCTCTTTGAGTTACACAGCTATCTGTTGCTTTCACCGAATGATCTGTTTGCGTTTCTGTTTTTATCCTATTTACTTAATCTTTATTCCTCCCTTCCTCCTTTGACAGTCATTTTCCATTCATTCTTAACCCCTCCTTCAGATTGGAAATCTTTAGCACTCTTGAACTTAGCTGTAGAGACTTTGCCATATTTGAGGTTACTGGTGAGGCGGTCACACTTTCACCTTTCAGCTTTGTGCTCATTTGAAGAGCTGCCCCTTCTCCCTGCCTGCATGCCTCACGTTATCAGTGCCCTGGAATGAGCCTGTGTTTAATGACTGAGCCCTTATCTGGGTGGAGGAGACTTAGCGGCTAATTGCTGTGATTGCTGAGATCCCCCCGGCGAGAGCGGCTGCGGCTCCGAGGTGGTTTGGGGGTTGAGGCTGGCGAGCACCACGTGCTCCGCCATGGGCTCCAGGGAACTGCATTGTCCTTGGGAAGAGGCCAGAGGAAGAGAAGAGAAGGAGAGGAGGGCTTTAGTATAGTTTGCAGGGAGACCCTGATGGATGTCTCTAACACAAGTGGTGGTGATATTCCACCTCTGGCAACTGCTAGAGCCAAAGAAAAACACTCACATTCACCTTCACAGCCCGACGGCCCCGTCATGCTCATTCTAAATAAAGAAATACCATATTTGTGTCTTTAAACGGATATCTAAAATTGACTTTCTCGCTCTGCTGTTGTGTTTTAAGGTGGCTCATCCTCCCGGATATCCAATATTCACCCTCCTGTCTCGCCTGGCTGTGTGTCTAGTGCCCTCATCGTCTCCAGCCTACAGTGTCAATCTGATGAGTAGCCTCCTGGGGGCTGCCGCTTGTGGCTGTCTCTGCCTAACTGTCTGCAGGTATGAGAACATTTTCTTTCTTTTTTTTTTATCTCCAGCGTATGCAGTACATTCACAAACGTGTTTGTCCTTCAGTTTTGTCTTGAATGTGCCTTCTTTGCCAGTGATTGCATGATCAAAAATAACAAAACTAAATCAATGTCAGTTGTGCATAAATTTCCTTCTCAAACTGAGATGCGAGGGACGTTAAGAAAATGCGTCACCAAAAAACAGCTGGGAAAAAAAAGAGGAGATTATTTTAAGTGGAAGTAGTCTTTAAATGTTCCTCTTCTTTTTCTTTTTGTATCATGATGCTGTGTGCAACAGAGAGCAGTATTTTTAGGTCCTGACTGACAGGGAGTGGTGTCCCTGATCCTCTGTTCAGTATTCAGGAGCAGAGCCCTGCCTCCCTCCTCCCTCCCACCGCCCTACCCTGCCTGTTTACCCATCAACCACCCGTTGTGAGCCTTCGTGTATGTGTATGTATATCACAATTATCGTGCCCTGCAGCCCCCCACCCTGACATCCCTGTTTCCCTGTCCCCCCCACTGCCCAGCATGCTCCCAATCCTGACATGGCACGATTTCTAATCTCCCCCTTCTTGCCTCCTGGGTCTGAGGAACAGGATCACTAACTCTGCTCCTCCCTCTCGCCTCTCTTCGACCACCTCTCCCCCCGCTCAGTCATGAGCACAGTTTGCAGTCGGCATTGCCCTCTACCACCCAGCAGCTTCCTCTGCTGCTGACCCCGTCATGTGAGGAGTATTTAACGTATTCCTGCTTTGTCTGTGTTTATCTCAGGTGGTTGGCAAGAGAACCTTACATCAACCTTTTGCTGATCTTAGTCATTTTCCACTTTGCTTTGTTGGTCACAGCTTAGTGTCAACATTTTGCCTTTAGTGCCACTTCATGCACACTGGGTTGTTTCTTCCAAAATTGGAATAGTTGAATCTGATGTAAAGTTGTCCTCTGTGTACACTAACAGCTCTAGAGGTTTCAGAGAGAGTAGAAGGGAAAGAAATGAGAATGGGAATGTGTGTATGCTGAACCTCCTCCCTGTATGCTGGTCATTGTGTGCTATAGGGGTCATTCAATTCCAGAGCTGGGTGGGAGCAGACTTTATGTTTGGACTGCATCAACCTGAGACTCTCTGCTGATCATACCTCAGATGTGACTCAAATCCTGCCATTTCCGACAAGTGAGGACTGGACTACGTAAAAAGGGAAAAAATATACTGTTAAAGGAAAGGAACACTGCACTTGTGCGGGAACTTTTGATTATTCACCCCTGCTGCCACTCCAGTCTTTATGCATTTGATGATGTACCAGACAGTTGGAAAACCAGACTCGGCTCTTTGCCAGGCTTATTTATTTCAAAGCCAGAAAATATCCCTCTGGTCTGGGTGATTTTTGGCTCCCAGTGTGCATGCTAACTGTAGTCCTGTTTGTAATCTCTGAGGATTTAGATTCAGTTGTGGATTATAGTCATGTAAAAGGCCATTATTAAGAGCTACAACTGCACCCAATACCCACTAGAGTTTGATGGATAGTGAGGACTTGAGCCAGAGCACACAGTCACATTATATAAGCTGAAGTGTGAATGTATAATCTATGCTTTCAATTTGGAAAAATAAGCATAAAAAGCTTTAGTTATTATCTGTTAAGGTCCTACTTTGGGATGAGCTCTGAGGCTGTGGATCAGTTTAAACGTTTTTCAGAGGGATGGGCTACTGGAAAGGGCAGAAGATGAGGAGGGAGAGAGTGCTGGTTGGAGGTATCTGGACAGTCAATTCCTGTGATTTTGGTCATTTTTAGAATATTAAAAATATTGCCAGTGATAACCTGGCAGTCTAGTGTGGATTTTTTAGGAAATACCTAAATAGGTGATACACACTCCATTCAGCAGTGACTGTGGGGTCGTTGCGTTATGTCTGTCTAATTAGTTTCCTTGCTTCGTATCTGGAGGTCTGCATCAGCTGAGCTGCAGACCTCCACCCAATCAGACTGCTGATTTGTCTGATTATGCTACACTGCAAAATATATTGAGGTTAATATGGTTAGTCGAGTGCAGTTTCTCTCAAATAATAAACTGTAAGACCTTGAAATTCATCTGGAATACACGCAACACGGAAAGCCTTTGATGTATCAATTTAAATTAGTCAGTCAGATTGCTGTGTTTAATGTGGGGGAATGGAAGTTGATAGGCTTGCAAGCCACATCTCTCTTGCATGAGTTTAAATGTAGCCCCATAGCCTGCCTTTGATTTGTCAATTACAGTTTTCTTGGCTTGATCATATGGCTTGATGGCCAAATTGCATGTCTTTTTCTGTTTTCACACCATGGCCTGACAAGCCTTTGAGGATGCTGGATGTAATGACAACTAGAAACAGCTGTTGCCGCGAAACACCATTGAGAATTCTGATCTGCTTAATGAAGGGACCAAATACGAGAAGAAGCAAAAACATAGAGACAATAAGCCGGCGAACCTATTAAAATGGGACAGGAAGACATCCGAAAATGGAACATGGTGGACAACAGTTAAACAATTTCAGGATGCAGAAAAAAATGAAGTGGGAGGATGTCAAATAGAACAAAAATTAAACCTTAAATAACATTGACAGCAATGGTTCATTGTTTTAAAACAAAACTGACAGCTGAAGACCACTTAAAGAAAAAAAATAATGTAGGTCAAAGGTAAAATGAATCTGTGGATCGGCTATATCAAATAATAAGAAGATTTCAACAAAGCCAAAAATTTGCTGCAAAAATATTTTTCAGGTAAAGTACAGTCAAGTAAATAACACAACCGTTGAAGAATTGGAAGCTGCAGAAGGAGGTTGGAGTTCAGGAAAACAAATAGCTGACGAATTTGCAGAATAACTAAAAAGCAACAAAACGCTTCAGACAACTTCAGTACAAAGACGAAGAGTTATCATCAAAAAGGTGAAACGAATCAGCAAAAGTGCACAGAAAACACCAGAAAATGATAGATTATCACCGCAATTTCTAAAACCGAAGCTCAGCTAAATGGAGTTCAACGGCCATATAAACAGTATGAAGAAGGTCAAAGGTCGAGCTGAGTCACGCAATCCCAAAAACTGTATCGGTAGTTTTCAGTGGCTTCGAAACCACCCGGTTTTGCTGATCAGAACGGTGTGACTTGTCTTTCTGGTACCAAAACTGAGGATATTAGAGCAAGTTTTGTAAAGACATCAAAACATTAAAGAAAAACTGCTTAACGCACGTGGGACAGGTTGGGATAAAACAGCAGCACTATGGTGAAAATGCCGAACAGTTGCCATCAGTTGCACTTGGAAGTTCACTGAGAGAAAGGTTGTGCTTGCGCGGTGCCACAGGCATCAGCCACGAGACTCTGGAGGAAGGCACCCTTCACAGCTGGATAATCCAGACAGCACGATATATTCTGTCCTCTCTCGTTTCACAGTTTATCTGCTAAAGCTGCTCTGAATCTGTGCTACCTGAGAGGAATCTCTCTCCATTCCAGAGCTTATCCTGAGAAACCCGGAGCAGACACGTTGGCATGCTGACAGCCATCACTGCAGCAAAAAGAAAAAAAGAAAAAGAAAAAAAAAAGCATCCAGTCATCAGCAGTTTTGGTTTGATCACATGATTACATAACATGCCCGCCTGAAGCACTTGTGCTTTTCCACTCCTATCCCTGGTGGCCTCGGAGGGAAAAACGCACACCTGAGAGGGGCTCCAGCTACCTCGGTGGACGGGAGGGTGGGCGCCATGCCAGCTCCTGCCTTGTGCTGCATCCCTGCTCCCTCCTCCAGGACCTCCACCATATGGTCAAGATTGCTCACTCTTTCCTTGCTCAGGTTTTTTTTTTCCCCTCCCACCCACAGGCGTCGTCACGCGTGTATCACGTCGGGGTCAAACAAGGAGCAGAGCTTGTCGTCGGGGGAGTTGTTATTTGTGCGGTTTTGTCCGTACAACGCAGCCTAATGGAGTTGTTTTGTGGGATAATGTTCTCACCTCTCCCTGTAGGTGGCAAGGCTGCCCCTCCTTCTCACATCTGCTGCGGTCAGATAAAATCTCCATCCCGAGCAGTAATAGAGGGCACACCCATAACTGTTATTTTGTCTTCCGAAAATGCAGCAGATAATTGTAAGTTTGTCTGTCGAAAGAGCCTCAATCTGTGGACCTTTTGTTAATTTTCTACTGTATCTCGTTCGTCATATTGTAGTCCGACAGACCTCCTTAACTCTCCGCATGCTCAGCATGACCAATGATTCCCTCAGGACTCATCCTCTAATACAGTTAAACAGATGTCTAATGAAGATGTTATTTCCTCATTACTGGCTACAAGATGGGGAAAGAGAGGAGGAGAGAGGTGGGGGGGGGGGCTAGATAGACAGCAGAATATACCACCAGTTTAATATCCCTTTCGCCCGTGGGCCTGAGATTGTGTCTGCCTCGGACGTCAATATTACATTCCTCACCCACCATAGGCAGTCTTAATAAGGCACAGAGACGGATCAGACTCGGCAATTACTATTCACCCAGAATTAGTTAATGGAATCTATACAGCAACATTTATGTATCACTGGTGTGTGCCTAATGACTTTGTTGGAAAAAGCACAGCTTTAAATGGCATTCGGTGAATTGTATAAACACTGTTTTTTTTTTTTAAATAGTTCTTTCCCCTCCCTCTTCCTGTAATTTTTTTTTGTGTGGGGTGGAGATTAAGATGACATTCTGGGAGAAATTGTCATGTCAGTGACTGCATTGTTTGAGCAGAATTGTGGTAATTAATTTTACACGCACTTGTGGCAGTGGGGCGCTCTCCTGGGAGGGGGGGGGGTGGGGTGTAGTCTGAGCCCCGGACCCGTATGCGTCCTCCTCTCTGTGCTAACAGTCAAGTCAGTCACAAGGCAGGGAAGTGTCTTCTATGGCGATTGGCTGAAAATGTATCCCTAACCCCCGATACAATATATCCAAATATACATTTCTGGAAGTCAGAAAAAGAAAACTGCTTATTTTTTTAGAATTAGATTTTTTATGTGTCTGTAATGCACTTATTATAAGACATAAAAAATAGATCAGAATAATATTTTTGTAGTTCTGATATTGTTTTCATCTTAACTTGCAAATAATGGGAACAATGAATACAGGATATTCTGGAGACAGTCAACATATTTAATTGTTATCACTTAATTAAACAAGCTATGATTATCACATTTAGTTAAATGGTTTTTGGTCCTTTTATTAACTCTTTTATAATACAAATAATTCATGTAAAGTGTGGTTTGAAGAGGAGAAAAAGGGACATATCACATTATATTAATGCATTATGTGAAGTCTTAGCAGCTTAGGAACTCCATGTCTTATTAAGGGTATTTTCAACCTTTCAAAAAGTAGCCTTTCTGTTAAAACTTTAAGTAGCCTATATGACCCAGTTATAAACATTTTTGTGAGTTTGGAATCACAGGAGACTTTATACAGCTTTGTTTTTACTAGGGATGTACAGATATAGTGGTCTAACATTGGTATTGGATTGTGTTCAGCTTGTTGACTGCAATCAGCCTGTCTGCAAATAGAACAGCATAAAGCGATGGCAGTGGACGATACTTATCTTTTGTGTCCTGTTTGTGTTGCATTGACTTTACTCGGAAAGTGACAAGATTTGTTTACATTTAATTTGCTAGGGGCGCAAAATATTCTGAGCAATGGAAGTCATTGAGCTGGCAATGGTTTCACAGGATGAAAATACTTTTTTTTGTGCTTGGTTCCAATGGTTTTATATGAAAGATTTATTTGGGTTTCCTAGTTTTTTTGGCATTAAAAGGAAGTAAATGCACAAATCAGTTATCTGCTTTTAGCCTACCCTTTTTCATAGGTAGCAAACTTGAATAAAAAAAATACCCTATTCTTAGCTCCTACTGTTGCGTTACGATAAATTTGAAGGTGTTTAATTGTAAAAAAAAAATACAAAAAAAAAAGATTAGAATATATTTAAATATATAAGACATAAAAATAGCAGCAATAATATACAAAGAATAGTAATCTCTCTCAGCCAAAGCCACATATTGACTCGCTATCTCTTTGCAGTGTTTGATCTCCTGACACACACTACAATTTAGATATTTGTATATCATTTGCTTCTTGGCTTTGGAACTTCAAAGCGATACATCAGACACTTACCCATCATATAATAGCCACTAAGTACCCTGGCTGGTGTCCTGGCCAGAGGGGAGCCCTGGGGTACGAGCAAGGGCCAGCTGGAAACCTCAGCCTCAGCCTGAACAGGCAACCTCCTCTCTTGGGCTTTTTACCCTCTTCAGGAATGTGTGATTCGTTTCCAGCACCGCATCCCAAACCACCACTCGGTTGGAGAACAGTGCAGCTCTGAGCCGCCGTGGCACAGCTGTGGCATTGTCTGCTCCCCAGGGTGGTGTGTGACAGTGGCTCCCTTGGCCAGCTCCATTGTGGAGCCTCATTCAGTGCGGAGAGCGGGTGTAGGCTTTTTATGTGCTGTTATTTAGTGATGCTGGCATCGGTCCGGCCCATGTTATAGAACTCAGTGGGCAAACGAGGCAGGTCTCATTTTCCTACTTCAAAGTGATCGCACCAAGCTTTTGTTGTGTCCTTGAAGGGGACATTGCTAACGAGAGTGTCTTTGAGGAATAGCATCTATGATTTTGTTTTGTTGAATGTTTTCTTCCACTAGTTTAGTTCCGTCTGCAAAAAGCGAATCAATTTTGGGATTAATTGACCTTTTTTAATCACGTGATGTCTTCCCGTCTTTCTGTTTACTTCAGGGTTCATGCAGGACGTGTGTTGTTCATTTAATGACCCTTTGCGATGACACAGGCATTTTGGCGGGGCGCATCAGCTCATGGTCGAGTAGCCCTGCTGTCAGTTGCATTGTTCTCCTGCTACATCTCAACCAGGCCATTGTCACTGAGCCACGGCATTTCAGCACAGCCCTGAGTGGCGATAACGGGGAACACGGCCACGCTGGCGTCAGAATGTGTCCCGCTTTATCTGCGCGCCCCTGGGAGCAGCCGGCCTGCAGAATGAGCTGACTGGGACCCAGGTGGTCCCGCGCAGACAGACAGGTCATTTTCAGGCTGCACTGTACGCACGTCGCCGCACTCTTAATGACTGACAAGCTGTAACAGGGAGATTTGTCAGGCACTCACCGAGAAGAAAGAAGTTAAGGAGCAGGAGTGTGTGTGTGTGTGTGTGTGTGCGGCTTTGAAAATGTGGCAATGACAACAGCTTCAGAAGCAGGGGCAGACCTGGTGTAAAAAACACATCTGCGGACCCCCCATGACTATTCGGCACCCTGTGCTACCCCCAAACCAGCCCCCCTGCTAAGTGTATAAGCTGTGGGTTAATTGTCATGCAGTGAGGTAAAATTATGGGTGCGGGAGGTCTCTGCACCTCAACAAAAGTCCCCATCTGCCCCCCCCCCCCTCCCTCACATCACCACCCTTCTTCATCCTTCCTTCAAGTTACAACTAATTCCTGGAGCGGTGCGGCGAGAAAGAAGCTGATAACTCTTATTAAGACCCACTTCTAGACGCCCCCCCCTTAAGTGCTCACACATTCACATTTACTGTACGCTCCATTCACTAGCCTGCCTAACAGAGAAGACAGAGGGAAAATAGTGGAGAGTGGAGGGGAGAAAAACCAAAGAAAAAGGGGAAGCAGTCAGCAAGCATGAGTTTTTTTTTGTTTTTTTTTTTTTTACCCTTCTCTCGCTTTCCTTTTTTTCCTGATTTACCGCGCTTTCCTCAGAAAGCTCCATTGTTCCCCTAGCCTAAGTCTCATCAGGCCTTTTGTGGCTGACTATCACAGCGGCAGGCAGAGAGCTGGAAATGTATAAATGGTATCATGCCTTGTGATTAATGGCGGTGCTTATGAGTCAGGTCTGATAACGGGCCTGCTCTCTACTCAATTTCAGATACCGTTAATGGAATCTGTCTTCTGCGATTGTAATGTGAGAGCGCCTAATTTGCTATGGAGCTTGAAGCTGTCACCGGCAAGGGATTGTGGGGTCATAAGGGACCTGGCAGCCGTTTGGCCTGCAGCTTGTATCTGTGGTGCTGAATAGAGCAGCTCTCTGCCTGTCAGTTAGCTGATAGGCTGATGAGGACTCTAAGCCACTCCACACAATGGTGGAAAGGGCCATACTGCCTGACTTCCCTAATTGTCGAGCCTGCTCATATTTCAGAGCCAGCATGCTGGGGACTGGGCTGCTTTTTTTTCCCTTTTCTTTCCCCTCTCTCTACTTGAACTTTTTTTTTTCTTTTCTCTACATTTCATCCTACATCCCGCACGCTGTCTCACCCCTTTAACACGCAGTTCCCTGCACTATTTTTCTTTTCTTTCCCCTTTCCTCGCCATTCCTCTCCCCCTCTGTCTCTCATTTTAGTAAGTGGTGGGTCTTAGCGTGTGACAGATTATCCCAAGTTTGCTTCAATTACCGCAAAGGAGATGGAGACAGTACAGGAGAGGAGGAAAGGGAAAACTTTTGTGCACACATTATATTTAAGTAGCCGAGGATGAAGTGCTATCTCCTCCACGGTGGTTTCTGTGCCAGTATGCTCCAGATCAACTGGCTGGTGAGGAGGGAGTTCTCGTGATATGTGAATTATCCCAAATCACAGAGAGTGTTTTTAAGGTCTTGTCCAAGAGGCAAATGTGGGGAGGAAGAAGATTATAGTGGGCCTCCAAATTAGTCTGTGGAAAGTGCTGCCCCCCCCCAACAGAAAATGTTTATGTTGTGTGTAGCTGCTGATGTAGTTGTTTTGGCTTTTTTTCCCGGCCTGGTAAAGTGTTACTCGGATCAAATGGAATGTTGCAGAAAGAAACTAAAGTTCTGAAACCTGTGAAATTCAGCAAAAATGAGATCAGCTGATTAAGATTTAAAGTTGTTGTCATTTCAGAGCAAACATTATTTTGAGATTGCGGAAAACAAACCCTCTCCCTCTACCCTGTCAGGTTGGCGGGTCCAGATCCAGGGGCAGTGCTGGCTGGAGGGCTGTTTGCCGTGTCCAGGCTCAGCTGGCAGTGGTCGGTTGTGGCAGAGGTCTTCACCCTCAACAACCTTTTTGTGGGCCTTCTTTTCTTCTTGACAACCTGCTTCCACTGCGCTGAAAGCTCCACCCAGAGGAGGAAGGTAGTAGCCCGGTGCAACACATGCTCTCCCTCACCAGGAACTTGCGTCTCAATACTCTGATGTTTGACTCACAGTTCTGCACTATTCTGGTTTTTCCGATTAGATTGCTCACTGGGGGGCATTGTGCTGTGGCTTGGGCCTCTGTAACCAGCACACACTTGTGCTTTATGTACTGGTCATCATTCCATGGGTCCTTTATCGTCTCTATTCTCTGAAGGTAAGTCCTTACACCTTGTGAAATGGAACACACACATAGTTTACAGACAGGAATGTAGAAACACGTCTAAATGCTTGGAAATGAAGATGAATGTTTAATGTTTAATAGTCTAGAAGCCATCTTTTAACTTAAAAATTAACTAAAAATAGAAAAATGCTTAATTGGCAACTTTCTCAGTGAGGAATTTTTAATGGCATTGTTACAAATAGATGGAAGATGGAAAGATAGGAGCACAAGTTCCTGTTAGCACCATAACAGCGGATCTTTTTCATAAACAGGAGCTGTCTTTGCATGAACTTCTATCTCTGGGACTGTGTTTTCTTGGCGGATTTTTGCCGTATATCTACTTACCCATCTCATCCTACCTCAACACTGCCCGCTGGAGCTGGGGGGACCAGACCACCCTGTCAGGTCTGCTGACCCACCTGCTGAGAGCCGAATACGGCACGTTCAGCCTAGTATGTACCTCATTTAAGTCGCATTTCACTTATCATCATATTCGTCTGTTTTCTTTTTTTAATGACCTTTTCTTGCATACTACTGTTTTGAGTTCCTCTGGTTTTCTTTTGCAGGCAAAGACAGAAAGCTCCGTGAGCCTGGCTGCTATGCTGCAGTGAGTTTATCATTATTCTTCAATATTTGAATAGCTGAAAACAGCTGGTTCTAAGTTCAGACTTTGGCCTGATGTCATGTATGTATTAATGGTAGATTTTTCATACGTCTTCTGTTTTACAGAAAATTCTGAAAATTGTATGACCCGATAATGGCAATAATGCAAATGAACCCACTCAGTAATATCTGGAGACTTTAGTCCTGAACAAAGCATCAAAATGATTTTCAAGTTGGGGAAACAAAAAATAAGACACAAAATGTGTACTGGAAGCAATTATTGACATTCTTTTGATCCACTTGAATTAGTCCCCCAAGCAAAATGAAAACAAATAAAGCTCCCCCACTGTGCTTATTTCCAGTGTCCACATGAGCCCAATTAACCAGTGAAGAATGTTTTTGCTTCATAAGCACTGGCTGATTGTTTCCAGTTTCTGCTTCACAGTGATGAGGACAACAGAGCTGCTGGAGAGCACCAGTAATGTTATTATCAAGCAAGTGTAACGTGTCTAAAAGGATACGTGGTTATTGCCAAAGAATTTGAAGCATTATGAAGAATTTTTTACCATAACAAAACTGTAAACATGCTTTTAGGATGTGCTACTGTGAAGATACTCCATGACTGAAATCTGTCAATAGGTTTGTGTTCATTTGAAAAAACAAAACCAACATTTTTTTAGGGATTTCAAGGTGACCTGCAATGATCTGGAGCAGATTTCTGTCCAAAATCACACCGTGCATACTGAGCCAAGTAGGACTGCAGGAGACAAAGAGGGAAGTAGGACACCACTATGAAAAGGCATGGCAAGGAGATTTTATTGTGCGTTTTCTCGACAGAGACAAAATGAATCACTCTGGGAAAACTGCGATTATTTTCTTCATAAAAGACAAAGTGAAAGCCAGAAGAAAAAGGACATTCCACCGAAAAAACAAAACATGTTTCATCAGGATATGAAATTGCTTTGCTTCCTTCCTGTGCTAAAAGTGCTGAAGGGAGGCTAATTTAGAGTACCATTACATAAATAACTCCTCAAGCTCGAAGAAAGTTAAACACAGAAAAGGGAGATCGTGGATGAGTTCAACAAAATTCACAGTTTTTCGTTCCCCAAAGTTTTTGCTATACAATGCGAGTTTGGATTTGAAAAAAGATGTACAGTCCTATATATTAGCTATTTTTTCATTAGTTAAGAAAAGATTCATAAGCTATCTTAATATATCTATTCCAGGTAGTTCACTAACTAACTCAGACATTGTAAGATCGAGCCGGGAAGAAGCAGAAGGGCTGACAAAGAGGTTTGCTCTGCTGCACAGTGAATGGTCGGAAGAACCCGGCCAGTCTTTGTTGTGGTTCTGATGGTTTACACAGGTTTAACAGAAGACTCGCCAATCCACTGTGAGAGCCCACCATCATTTCTGTATCCCATCTCTTTCGTCTCCCCGGCAGCTTTTGTTCTTCCCATTCCACTCTCTGCCATCAAAGCAGAACTGAACCTGCTTAGAGGGCCAAATTGCTGTGTTCTGTTTCTCCAGCAGTTTGAAATGATCACTCAGCTCTGGTGTTTAAGCGTGACAAGCTGTGATGACAGACACTGCAATAGAGCTGGAGAAATTGTGTTTTTCCACTTTAGCTGCCCCCCCACTCCCCCCCCAAAACTACTGAACTGCCTCCCTTTCAACCACCACCACACCACAGTCATCCCACTCCCTGTATCATTCTCCAACTGACGGGATGGAGGGTGCATGTTCATCTTAAGACCCCCCACTACCAGACCCCCCTCCGCCTGGCACCCACCCCTTGCTGTCACCCCTGCTGCTTGACGGACAAGCACACCTTCAAGATGGGGAAGAGAGGCGAACATGACAGGCTTGTCGCACTGGAGAAGTAAACCCACTGGAGTAGCTGACACACACGCTCGCCAGCACACTCGCACACACAGTGTACATTGGGAGATATACAGACTCAATAAGCTGTCAAATAGAGATGGGTATTAAGGAAGAGGCAGGAAACTATCTCCGTGCTCTGAGCAAGCGCTTTGTGACTGACAGGCGCTGTGAGGAGAGGACGGGACTGCGGGGGGTGGATGACACAGTCATTCCTATCTGTCAATCCAATTGAAAGGAGGAGCTCACAGTCCAAGAAGTCTGTTTTGAAAGGGGATGGAGGGCATTTGATAACTGCTGTCCTTGAGTTCAGTAACAGGGAGGGTAATTGAGCTTGTCTTTGGTGTCAATCACGCATGAAGATGTGTGCGTTTGTGTGCGCAGGGCCCAGCTGGACCACTGCCTGGCAGAACTTTCGCTCCCTGTTTTGGTACTCGCAGGGATCGGCGTCCTCCTCTCCTCGTGGGACAGGTAGGAAAGACTAAGATGCCTCTGTGCTGCACAAAAATCTAATCCCCCTCGAGTGAAAGACGTGAACAAAACCCCTGACAAAATGCTGATCCAAGAAAAAGAAAACACAAAACAGCAGCGCAGCACCTGGCTGTCAAGCTGTCATAATGCTCCACATTCAGATCCAGAAGGGCTGATGTGTCATTTGGATTTTCAAAAACATATTTGCATGTACAAGTAAATCACTGCTTGTGTGCAGCACTGTGCATTTATTTATTTTTATCAACAAGAGGTTTTGCAAGGGGAGCTCATTAAACCTGGTGATATCCTACAGCTCTGCAGGTCACTGGCCATTTGTGGCTCCTGCTACACCTGAAGTGCGCTTAAAAACACAGTCCAAGGAGGGCCATGAGGGCCATGCTAATTCTAACTTCCCTGACGTTAAAATGCATGTGTCGCTTTGCAAATTAAATACTTCTCAGTATTAGATCCCTCAAATATCAGCCCAGTTATTAGAAGCCAAAATCCGCTGGCATGTACAGATTTTGATTAGTTGAGCTTCAAGTATCACATATTTTCTTTCTGGTGTATAAGTACATATTACATATGCTGTGATTCAGCATTGGCAGCTGCTCATTATGACTCAGTCTGCGTTAGAAAATCAGTCATGCACCTTTTGGCTGGCACATGTTTTCCTAGAGACTTGTGATCTCCTTCCTTGCATTAAGATGTGTATTTACCTAGAAATAATAAGAATATTATTACAGAAAAAAGGGTAGAGATGTATGGTAGAAGATTCCATAAATTGAAACAGAAACATGAGTGACATTTGAATAATTAGCCTTTTTGCATTTGTAGGAAGTGTCGCTCACTGTCCTGGCTGTTGACGGCCATGCTGTTGGTCTATTCTCTGTTTTTTGCTTGGAGAGCCAACCTGGACATTAGCAGACCGTTACTGCTTGGAGTGGTGAGCAAAAGCTACTTTGGGTAATGGGGCTTGTTCTTATTTATCCAAATTGCATTGGGTTTTTCTTTTCCTGCAGCAATTTAAGATGTAATTAAATCAAGACAGGTACACATCTACCTTTCCCTGCAGGTTGAGCGGTTTTGGCTCCAGAGCGACGCTGCAGTGTGTGTGCTGGCCGGCCTCGGCTTGAGCCGGACTCACACTGAGCTGGAAAGAAGGCTGGGATATGGAGGGGTGTGGAAGACCACAGGCTGGGCCTTCACTGTGGCTCTGCTTGCACATATGGTGCACACCAATCACAGGTGAGAATTACATTAGCTTACAGTAAAACAGGGAAAAAAACTGCTGTTGTTAGATGTTTTGAAATCGTGCATTATCGTAGAGAAGTGCTGTATCACCCTATTTACCTTACCGAGTCAAAGTAAGCCTTTAATGTTAAAACTGGTTCAAAACGAAGACTTTATACTTTTAAATTGTAGTGTTATTCTTGTAAGAACCTTTGCCCTCTTCTTGTAATTTAATGAACGTGAAGTAAGACAGTAAAGTAAGTCAGCATTAACCTGAACCTTGCATTATTTTACATGAAATGCTCTGGAGCACAATGTACAGATCTATACGGTAAACAAGTCTTTTCAGATGGGCGTTATTTGCCCCTTCTTTATTATGGCTGAGATAGGAAATTCAGCTTTTTAGCATTTAAATTTGCAGACAGTTACAGAACTAACTCCACGTCGGTGCAGATCTTGATCACTTAAGACATTATCATTGTATCTGCGTTGTATTGCCCTTCCTCAGGCTCTAATAGTGTCTCTGCGCCAGGCTTTACAGACTCTGCCCACTCTGTCTGTGAGCTTCTCTGAACTAACTGCACCGGACCCAAATGTGTTTTAAAAAAAGAAGGATCCTTTAAAGTTTAGGTGAATTGAAAACTCCCATCATCTGAAATCCCCATCTGTGTGTTTCTTCTGAGTCAACTTGATTTGTCTCTTCGCACTCCAGGTCTGAACTCCTCATGTCAGGTTTTTCTCCCTTCGCCCCATGGTAGGGGCTAAACAGAGGCACGGTTAGCACCTAGATTCTGCTCGCAGAGCTCAGTTTGAGATGCTAGCTGTCCGAGAAGGCAGATTACACCGGCGTAGCGCCGGGGAGTGCCAGACAGCCATCACCGCGCGGCTTTGATCAAGGGGAGAGCATGGCCTGCGCTGTCACACCCATCATACCTGACTCTCCGCGATTAGATAGGCAGCCGGAGCACCGTGCAGAGGAGAAGGGGCGGGGGCACTGACAACTTACCCTCAGAGGACCTTGAAGTGGTTCTTGCAGACATGAACATATTCACAGCTGTGCTAACACACACACAGTCCTCTGAGCAGGGGTAAGGGTGCAGGTTTCTGAACACCGGTAAACTGTTTTGATGGAAACACACTGCGTGATTATTGATGATTTTAGGGACTGCGACCAGAGCACGAACAGTGTGGTGGAGAGGTTTGGCAGGGAGCTTCTGACCTCCGTCCCAAATGACTCCATCATCCTTACAAGAGGAGACCTGCCCGGAAACTCCATGCGTTACTTGCACTACTGCCAGGGCGTGCGGCCTGATGTGCGCCTGGTCGACCAAGAGGTACTGGATTTATGGAGGCCTCAGCAGTTCTCTTTGATATTTTTTTCTCGCTTTGAACACATAAATAGACTATATATTATTATCAAAAGCTTGGGAATTAAAACACAAACATTTACTGGTCAGAAGGACAACTTTAAAGTGACAATATTACAATACATTAGCTTCTATATTATTTCTATATTTTTAATTGCTAATTTGTCATAAGGATTACACCAAAATTAAACATATTGAGTGTTGGAGAAGGAAGAAGCTTTTTATGTCTGGTTGATTAAAGCAGTTACACACCCAAGTTGTGTGATTGAGCCTCATATAAAAAATATACAGAGTGCAAACCCTTTTTATCTTTTATTTTTTGTAATTTTTTTCTAGTTAAATAACCTTCTGAGAGTAGATTATACTTTTAAAATTGTTTACTTTTGAGTGATGTGCCTACCTGTCATTCTTTTTTTTTCATAATAGATGATGACATATTCTTGGTATGTGGCAAAGCTGGAATCGCACCTCCCTGGAGTCCATTTTCCCGGCGGAAGGTGGGACCCGGTTCACTCTGAGGAGAAAGATGCCTTCAGTCTTGAGCAATTCCTGTCCCACAACACACAGTGAGTTTCTGACACACACGGAGAGGGCAGAGAGGGAATAGAGCTTTATAGCTCTGCCTGGCTAAATAGAAGGATGTTAACCGTATGGGGAGAACTAGTGAATTGGGAGGGCAACAATGGTCCAAATGAACAAGTGGGTGATCTAATGAGGCAGAGATCAGTGGGATGGACGACACAGTGCTGAGTGCAGGGAAAAGATAAGCCCACCGAACAGTTGAGACCATAAAAGGAGTTTGATTAACTACAGAAGTCGACTAATCTACTTGATTTGGTTAAACAGTCTCTGGTGGACTCGTCGCTGCTCCCTGCTCTCATGTCTTCTCCCCAGATAGATCCCCGATTCAGAAAATGGATGGTGTTGTGTCAATGCCAGGCCCACCAGGGGGCAGTATTTGCCAGGCCAACGTGTCAGTCTCTCTGTGGGGTAACACTGACCTGTGGGGTTAGCCCTCAGGGTCTGTGAGCAGCTCAGAGCTGAGGGGGTGCTGGTCGGGGGGGGGGGGGGTTAGGGGCTGTTGGAGTTGGGAGCAAATGCTTGTTCACCACACATTTCTGTAGGATTTTCCTCAGCAGTCACCATTTTCTTTTCTACAGGAGGGACGTGATTACCTGCATCGGGCTGTCTGATGGAGACTCCACCTGGCAGCAGAGTTTCAGCCGCTGGCCCCTGGGAGTGTGCGACTACCTGGTGCCTGTTAGGAGGCAGTTTCACCCAGAACAGTGGGCTCAGCAAACTAGAAACATCTACAACTGGAGCGAGCCGAACAACAGGTGCACACACACAGAACCTCTTCTCCTGACACCATGTGCATACATGTGCTCCGAATGTTTTCTTTCTTTTATTCACAGCTCTCCTGATCTCTGTCAACGTGTTGCATACTTCTTCAACGGGGAGACATTTTATGGGATTCTATACGTCCCTAGGAATTAATATCCTCACTGCCTTATGCTCTGTGGTCTTCCCTGCTCAGACTCCACAGAGCTTCCCACAGTGAGGTTGTACTCTGTTCTCCATGCTGTGATCCTGCTCTTTGTGCATTCAACCAGAGCAAGACATTAGGCCCTCAGCCATTTGAAATGAGACTGAAGATGAAAAATAATGAGTTTCTTATTGCGTTTTGTCAATAACTGTGTCAAAACTGGAATTAGTCAAAGCTCCATATTCAGTTGCTGTTGCCAGCAGCCCTTCTTTCACTCAGATATCCACGGCTGAATACTGTGACATTATTTCCCGCACCCCAACGACAAGCGTGTCCGCAGATGCCCAGAAGCCAAATATTAGCTCGGAAACCCTGCTAAAATATTCTTTTGAAGAAGAGGTCAAGTGTTTGCAGTCAACAAAGTGGGGGAAAAAAGGCAGATGTGGTTTAACTCCATGTCTAATGTGCACGCTGGTATTGTTGCTCAGTCATTTAATGTTTATGCAGCAAACGTTGAGTTTTAATGTATTAAAACCTGCAAAGTTGAGTGGAACAATATAGTCATAAATAATCATTTACAGTTAGTGGAACTGTGCATAACCCAATGCCTGGAGCCACTTTGTATAAAGACTTTTTTTCTTTTTCTTGTTTAAACAGTTTCCATCCTGCATCCTGGGAGCGTGTTGCTAATGAGGAGATGTGGCAAGCCAGGTACGTTTGAACCCGTTACAGGAGACACAGGACTCCTATTTGGAGTAGTCGTATGCTACTAAAATGAATAAAAAGCTGTGTCACGATGCATACTGGCCTGCGAGAACATCTCCATAAACCAGTCTTGTGTGATAAAGCATCTACATGTACCATCTATTTGGTGGCAGCATATACATAAATCACTCCATTGGAGTGGTGTGTCTGAGAGTGTGGATCTGCATGGCTCATCCATCCAGCACTTAGCCCTGAGCCTGCGTGCTTTGTTTCAGGATGAAGACGGCTTTCTTTCTGTTTGACCTGGCAGAAAGGATAGAGGGAGAAGGGAAAGCTCGCCTCTTTGAGTTGTCTTTCACTGTGAGTCTGACCACAAAAAACATCTTGGTTTGTCGCAACCGGGCAGAATTCGGTGCGCGCAAATGTGGAATAGGTTTTTGGTTGTGTTTGTTTTCATTTTTCGTCTCTTTTTTGTGTTTGCTGGGCAGCTGTATAAAGAGCTCGTAGAGGCCCACTCGGACTACCCTCCAAACTGGGACAAGAACCTGGCCCTGGCGTGCGAGAGGCTGCTCCGCTCAGGTCACCGGGGCTACAGTCCAGACAGCCTCCTGACCTGCTGTGTCCAGCACTTCAGTCTGTACTTAGAGAAGGACCCCACTGACCCGCAGGCTCCGGCCATACGCTCGGCAGTAACCCACCTGCTCAGCGAGAGAGACAGACTCCGTCAGAGCCGGAAGCAAACCCCTTGATAAGATCCACAAAGACCCACACGGGGCTTACGCTCTGTTACATGACCAACCAAAGTACAGTGCCATCAGAGTCAAGCCTCAGCCGATGTGCCTTTTCTCGCGGGTGTAAATTGGAGCACCAATGGGATACAAAATGGTCCAGTAGACCAGACTGGACGTCAGCTGTACTTGTTTGGATTCAGGTTTATTGTTGACCAGCCGAGAAGCACAGTTTATTTAACTTCAGTTAGCTTTTTCTGTCCTCAGTAAAGCTCCGCATGCTCCCCTTAAACTCACCCATTCAGTTTATCTTTACATCTCATTCTCTTTTCTCCCCCATTCTGCTCTCAGAGCTTTTAACGTGGTGATTATTTTTGCCTTAGCCTGCGCTCCAGTTCTCTGTTTCTCACATTAGGATGGCAAGGCTGAGATTGAGGGAAACCCAATTTGGGGGCAGAAATGGGGGATTAGAGCGGCTGCTTAATCTAGGACAGACTTGCTCGGTGCCACGCGGCTTTCTCTCCACATTACCAGCACTACACACCCACCTCTCTATCCCTCCATCAGTCTATCTTGGATGGTCCTTTAAATGTTTAAAACTAATGGATTTGATGAGTGTTTTTTTTACTCTCTTCTTTCCTAACAGGAGGGCTATAATCCCTCATGGATTTAAATGAAATGTGAAATGTCACAATGCCAGGGACCCTTTTAGAGGTGTGTTTCTGTGTGCTTGTGTGTTGATTTTTGTTTGTGTGCATATGCTTAAATCTCCACTCAAGCTTTTTTTCACCCCCGTTAGAGACTCACATAAACATGTTCGATTAAAAACACGGGCACAATGAAAGGCAAAATGCTTTGAAAGGCACAGACTCATGCAAACTCAGCAACGCTTAAAGACCACTGGCTCCCAACTTCCAGGAAAAAGGACTTTTGGCCTTTTGAGTGTTGGAGAGAGGATTTGAAGAGACCAAAGAAAAAAACGACTTTGGGTGACTTTGACATGTTCTCTGCGACTGACACCTCAATCACAGTCCGCTTTTTTTTCTTTAAATGTTTGTGTTAATGAACTCATTGCCATGAATTTTCTCCAAGGAAAGGTCCAACCCGCATTTTTCCGTTATAAAACAAGAAGCCTGCTGTTTGAGATACGACTCCAAAGCAAAGGACAGAAAGCGTGTGCGTATTTTTCTCAGAATGTAATCTGTCCTCTCTGTTTGACGGCTCGGGCAGTGGCTGTCAGCTGGCCGGATGATGAGGTCTGACCTGCTGTAGCACAGATGGTTTGGTGTCTCATGAAAAAGCCAAAACTGTCACTCGGCTGTCTCCAGATTAAACTATTTTGATAAAGACTCCGTTTCTTCATATTTCCTAATACATTCTGTGCCCTTCATTGTTCACTGAAAGTATTTCTGAATTGACATGATAATATTTTTGTTTAGATTAATGTCACTTCTTGTATTGTCCCCCTCTTTTTACTTTTATTTTATAATTCCTGTCCACCCTGTCGCCCTGTCTTTCCATAACCCCTCTGTTTGTCTCCTCTCCCCTGTTTCTGAGAGTCACTTGCCCACCCCAAATCAGCAAGCTGCCGAGGATTGTGGGAACCCATGGAATCGCCGTGACCAGGGATGCAGGCAGGGAGCCACAGCAACGCTGGAATGTGGGGCGTCTGAGGAGATAAGAGCTGTGAGCCCAGCCAGGGAAAGAGGAGGGATGCAGCAAGTATGTTTGGGGTTGGGGGGCGGGGGGGGGGG